CAGGGGCAACATTCAAGTGGGAGGCTGGCAGCTGGGAGGACGAGCCCAGCTGCGAAAGCAAAAGTTTCCTCAAGTATGTATCTGTGGCCATCTGTCTTGATGTAGCACCGGTGCTGAAGCAGCAGCCAGAGGGTGACAAGGCAAACAGAGAACTTGAACAGCGAGCTGCAGCTCCCATGTATGTGCTGATGTCATTGCGAGTCACCGTTCACGAAGTAACCACCAGGAGCATAGCACGTGCGTGAAAGACCACAGCGAAAATGTGCAGATGTGATTGATGAAAGACCTGAACGCCACTCAATCCGGATCACTGCAAATCAAGCAGGTCGCGGATCTGGTCCAGTCGACTGGGCGTCTTGCAACCTGACTTACCTGGTGACTCGCAGCCCACGTTTGAATTTGATTTGACGTCATGAGTGAGCCGCCAGGTTCAGGCGTACGCGCCACTGAGCCTGTAAACGGCAGCGGCAGAGACGCGGGCCCCGGCCAGCCCACCAGCGCCGAAATAGGCGGTGCACCTGCAGCGGACAGCCGCGAACCCTCTGGATCTTCGGGAAACCAGCCCCCCCGCAGGCAGCACGACCTGCTGGATCGCGCCCCCATCCCTCGCAACACCTGCGGCTGCGGCGAGGCCCGCGCCCCCGCCTCGCTCGGCCCCTTCCTGCGCTGCGGCGGCTGGCGGCCCCCGCCCGAGCTCGCAGGCCCCGGCGCCAACGGCGGCGACAGCCCCGCTGCGACGCCGCTGGGGCCGGCGTCCGGGGAGGGCGGAGATGCGCCTTATGGATGGTGGACTGGGTCTGCTTTGTTTGTGTCTAAGGACGGCTGGTCAGAGGCGGATCCAGACGGCCGCGCCGCCACACCCACACCCCCGCCGCCGCCGCGCCTGCTGTGGCGCGACGCCGCCGCCCGCGGCGCCGGCGCCGATCGCGGCGGCGGCGGCGGCCGCGGGGGCGGCGTGGGGCAGAGGCTGCGGGCGAAGGGGGAGGCGGAGGGGCGGCAGCTGGACGAGTGGGGCGGCTGGAAATTCTGGAGGTTTGATCTCGAGATCCCCGTCGCGTGGCGCGAGCGGCGGATCTCGTACGAGATCCGCGCCGCCGACGCGGCCGCGCACCGGGGCGGAGGCCGCGCCGGCGGCGGCGTGCTCGCGAGGCTAGTGGGGCGCGGCGGCGGCGATAGCGGCAGCGACTGCGGCGGCGGCGGCGGCGAGCCTGATAGCGGCAAAGGAAGCGGCGACGCCGAAGAGCTTGCTTTCTACATCGCAGGTGAAAGGGGCAACGGATGGAACGCCCCGCTAGCACGCGGCTCCGCACGTCAAACAGCATCAGCACCACCACACAGCGCATCAACAGATGGCAGCAACCAACGTCGTTGCTGAGCGATGAAAGCGACCAACCTCATTGCTAAGCAACAAAAAAACGGCCCGTTCTGCATACTGCGGGTCCAGCCTCCCACGCATGTGCCCACCCGCCCGCCTCCCGCCCGCTGGTCTTCTAGGCGCCGACCAGCCGTGGCGCTGGGGGTTTTACAGCTGCGCGGGCTTCAGCAACGACGTCCCCCTGGAGGATCATGACAAGAAGCATGGCGGCTTCGGCCTGCTGGTGCGCCGAGGGCGGGCTGCCTTGTCAGTACCATCGTGCCGCTCATGCTTGCATGTGTGAGGCGCCGCGCGCGGTCGGATGTGGGCATTGTCATTTTTCAAGGGAGGCCGCCGTGCGACGCCTCCCAGCACCCTTTTGGGTTCCCGAGGTTTGATAGGCGCTCGGACCGCCCGCGTGCGTGAGCGCCTGCGCGCGCCAAGGAGGCGCCGGCGGCCGGCGGGCGTGGGGCGTCCCAGGGTGTGACTCACGCTCCTGGCAAGGGTTGTCCGCTCCCCGCTCGGGGCCTCGAGCCTTGCGTGCCGCCCGCACGACACTGCTGATAGCCCGCACGCACTCCACACGCCCTGTGTCGTGGCGTGGGCTGCCATGAAGACACCAACCCCCCACTGCGGGGGACCCACTAACTACCCTCGCCGTCCCACGCGCCCACCGGCCCCACCGGTTTGCTCTTCACACGACCACCGCCGCCACCGTTGACACCATTAGTGGGAGGACGTGGCGGCAAACCACAGGGAGCGCCCCATACACGCACTGGTGCGCCGGGCCCATAATCCCAGCTACCCTGCGCCGCTCCGTGGATGCGGCGTGCGATGAGCCAGCTAAATCCGTCGGGCTGGGGCAGGCGTCTGTATCTCTACATGCTGTGTTGCAGTGCGTACTGCAGCGTGGGTGGGGGAGGGCTGGATGACGGGCTGTGATGTCGAAGTTTGATTAAGCGCGCCCGCAAGTACCTAAGTATGAGGGCTGCTGCTGCTGTTGCTGCTGCTGCCGCCGCTGCTGCTGCTGCCGCCGCTGCTGCTGCTGCCGCCGCTGCTGCTGCTGCCGCCGCTGCTGCTACCGCCGCCGCCGCCGCCGCCGCCGCCGCCGCCGCCGCTGCTGCTGCTGCTGCTGCTGCTGCTGCTGCTGCAGAGCCTTGGAGGGTCCAAATGGCGTGCAGGAAATCTCTCTCCCTCTCTTTCTCT